GTGTGTGTGTGTGTGTGTGACACAGTGTGTGACATCAGCAGAGATCCAGTTGACCCCCAACACTTCAACTCTCTTTAGTTAACCAGAATGGAATTCGACATCGAAGTTCGATCCAAACCACAGCTACCACTAGAGCCGGCCTGCTGCGCATAACGCGACCTGGCGCCATACCACTTTGTAGCAGTCGAAAAAGAGGAAAAGCCGATCCTATTGCCATCACCACTTCGGATTGCCGTCACCACTTCGGGAAAAAGGAGACCCTCCCAGGTGGTGGTGGTTTACCGCTGATGATGGAATTCAACATCAAAGCGTAAATCACTTAACATCGGCAATTTAGCGGTCTAACCAAAGCAGAAGCCTCGAGAGTCGAAACACCAGAAGTGTATTCTAATTCTCTCTGTTCCACTGACGGTGCCAATACATTCTATCTGTTACAGCTCTCGCCTCTATGTCGTCTCAACTCACTCATCCATCGCTCTGCCAACCAAGCGTCCCTGCGGATGCGATCTGCAAAACTCACCTCTGCCTGGTGACGCATTTATCGTTGCGGTTCGACATCTTATCACCACCACAGAATGCCCATTTGGACACCGAATCATCAGCTGCTCTGCCTCTGCCTGTTGGTGCGCAGAACACCAACACGGGAGCCCCATGGCATATCCAACCCCGCATGTGCCCAACAAAACACATAATGCAAGTAGCCCAACCGAGTCCACGTAAAAGGAGGAGTGCAGACAACCAGAATGATTTGTAGCTCCCGAAAAACAGAGTGACCGACAAAGCGAGGCGCAAATGTCGAACCCTTACACATGGCCCAGATTGTGGTTGGACCAGCCGGGGATGAAGATCAGGCCTTTTGCGTTTGCGTTTGCGTTTGCGTTTGCGTTTGAGTTTGTGTTCGACGCCAGGCGCAAGCACCCGTTCAGGTCAGATCCTGAACGATCACAACTCCTACGAAGAAACAACAACAACCGCACTGAAACATAAAGACAAAAAATAGGCGTACCTCAGTTGGTACAGCCACAAAGTGTTGAAATCTCCAGACAAAAGTTCTAATCCGGATGCGATCTGACAAACAGAAATTTCTGAATTAACTGAGGCTGTTCAGTTCAATGATCATATATCTCAAGGCGTCGAGGCGTCGCCCATTAGAAAAGAAGAAAAAAAGAAAAGAGGGCAAAAAAATAACAATAATAATTAAAAAAATCCTTCGGGACATCGGTAAAATAATAAAATTGGAACGACACAGAGAGAGAAGATTAGCATGGCCCCTGTGCAAGGATGACATACATAAAAAGTTAAAAACCAAGAAACGGTCCAAATTTTCAGAAGAGACGACGAAGACGAAGAAGACGAAGAAGACGAAGAAGAAGAAGAAGAAGAAGAAGAAAGAAGAAGAAGAAGAAGAAGAAGAAGAAGGAGACAAGATGCGATGTCAAAACTGGCGGTGGGGATCTTGCCGATGCGATCCGGACAACTCGCAAGTGAAACGCAACGATAAATGCATCACCACGCAGTCGATACTCTGGTTCGGTCTGGCCCAAGGCACAGAACAATCTCAATCCACACACTTAGGGAACACACTATTTACAAACCACACTCCGCAAGTCTGCAATGTCCGCGGATCGCTGCGAATTGCATGCACGCATGCGGGTCACAGAATCCGCAAGCAAACATAACCATGCAGTTGCTGGTCCTGGAGTAGCTGAGTCCTCTGCGACCACCACTACGCAGTCCACAACTCCCCCGAGATGTTATCGACCCACAGGCTGGATGGTTCTGGGTCAACTCCCCCGCCCCCTCCTTTGCCCGTAGACAGATATTCAGCAACTGGCAGAGCTTTGTGTGCAGCTGGGTCTGACATCATAGTCAAAGGTGTAAGGGTCCATCACTTCACCTAAAGATCTATAAGGACCTTGAGAGCCGTGTGCTCCACGAAATGAAACCCCTATAATACCGTCCCTCTCTCTCTCTTTTCATACACGTGCCAATGCACCTGGACATCAACTAACTGCCAATAAATCCGAATTTGCGGAAAGTACTTCCCCAATGCTCGCCACAAAAAGACGTACAGTGTACACCCATACTGCCCCAACAAAAGAGGCAAAAAGGGGAACGAAGACAAAACGAGGCCAGAAGGCTGACGATGTTATTTCAATTCAACTGCTCTGCTAGACAAATGCATTTGATGACCTGATGCCATCCCAGTCCTCCTTACCTCCTTCCTGATGATCCCTCACATGTCCTCGGATCGACCAGGCCTCGACGGCGGAGCGAGGCCCTATGTCCACCATACGTCCAGCCATCCTTTCACATCTGGGGGCTCAGGTGACAATGAACCCTTCAGCTGTTAATTAGGCATCTGCATCTGCTCGCAAGCACCCATGCAATTCTGTCAGCCTGCATGCCAGGCCAGAGCTGTGTCGAATGGGGGCGCAGGTGACGACGAACCCTTCAGCTGTTAACTACCGGTAGGCATCTGCTGCTGTCCGCAAGCACCAATGTAACTCTGTCAGTCTGCGTGCCATGGCAGAGCCGCGTCGACTTGGGGGTTCAGGAGACGACGATGAACCCTTCAGCTGTTAAGTAGCTAGTTGCCGCTGTTCGCAAATGCAACTCTGTCAGCCTGCATGCCAGGCCAGAGCTGCGTCGACTTTTACCCGGCAAGGGCAGTGCAGCAGGGCCCGAAACCTGCAAAGCGTTGGACGCTCAGACCCAACTTCCTACCCTGTACTCTCAATCCTGAGATCAATGCAGCAACCCCTAACTTTCAGAGTCCAGATTAACAGACCAATCATGCAATCTTTCAGCATTGCGGCAGTCGCAGAGGACCCAGCGAAACCAGATTGTTATGTGGGATCAGCTTCCAGGATCCTGTCAATCATCTCATCCATTGGGCAAGGACATGGCCCTTGGGGTATCGTAACATTCTTCACAATGTTGCTAATCACCCTTTCTGCACGACAACCATTTTTGGCTGATGAAGAGACGCATCCCTCCAGGGGCTGAAGACGCACTTTAACTTTGCAGCTGCATGCCCTCCGGATGTGTTGCTTGCAGTCCACTTGTATGACATCTGCAGCGTACCATGCCTGAAGAAAATTCAACATTCATAAAGAGAGACCGTACGATCAGCTCATGCAGTGTATGCATCCCTACGCGCACGTAGGCAATCTTAACCTAGCACACGGCCTAGCACTCGCAGCAAATGAACAAGTCAATCCGACGCTACTCATTTTTCGACCTCCTACTAAACTTTTTGAACTACCTTTTCCGCGAACATTATAATGGAATGGACCTATGGAACAATGGTGAAGCTTTGACGGATCAGACACACACACACACACACACACACACACACACACACACACACACACACACACACACGATCAGTTTTATGTATGTCTTTTCTTCATGTGATTCTCTGTTTTCCTCGTTTTTTTTTTCAAAAACTCCCATCAGTCCGGTCGCTTATCACCGGCAAGCAAAGGTTTTGAAGCGAGCAGCGGGGGAGATTAGATAGCGAAGAGAGCCAGCCTGCCCTCGTGGCTCAAGCCGCCTGTTCAAGGGGGGGTTGCTTCAGCGCCACCCGCTCCCATCCTTTGGCCTTTCCTTGGGGATCGTCCTGCAAGTCGGGAGGCTTACTGGCAGCACCCAGGCACGCTGCAGAATAATCCCCAAGGGGTCGAGGCGCAGGGGGGTAGGCTTTCCGGTGCCCTCTCTTGATACACTCGGAGCGGTGGGGCTGTTCCCCGTCTGCATCGTTCATTCCACAGAGTCCACCGCAGGGCCCATAGCACCGCTGCTCGTATTGTTTCAGCAGCCATCATATCTTCCTTTCTGGACCTATCCACCTTCATCGCCCTCCCCCCCTCAGAAGAATAGCAGCGTCATCCGTCTCCGTGACATCCAGCGGTGATCCATCTGCCACGCCGTGCGCCCACCATTCCCAAAAGGCCCTGACAATCGGACACCGCACAAACAGATCGGGGACTGTCTCCACTTGGTCGCACCCCGCAGCGCATTCCTGGTCCTCGTGTTGGCTCCTAAGTGCCAGCCATTGAGAGTGCCGTCGGAATCGCCAGGTGGTAGATTTGCCACATAGCAGGCCAGCCTGTTTCTGATCTGGCAGGGCTGCAAAAATGGCACATTGCTCGTTCCGCCTCTTCCTCGTCCATCTGTTGAAATATCCATCCTGGAGCCAGCTCCCCCCCTTAGCCAAGCGGTCCCTGAGCGCGCTCCAGAAATATCCACCTGTTCCAGCAGAGAGTTGTAAATATTTTCTGAGGACAGATCCTGAAGCGGGACCCCTCTCGTCTGCATGGGTGACTACCCTTTAAGCAGTGCTTTTTTGAAGTTTTTTTTTCCCTCTTTTTTTTAACACATGCCTCAGCCTGCTAGAGGTGCTGTTTTGACTGGTAGAGGTGCTGTTTTGGGGCACCTTTAAGACGTGCTAAGCAGTCGGTTTTGGGGTGTTTGGGGTGCCTGTAACGCTATTATGGGGGCCGCTCCGTTCGTGATGTCTCTGTGGTGTATATGGTCTATGGGTGACGACAGACGTCTGCCGGAGCGACTCCCCGGCTCAGCAGGTGGCGGGAACCAACAGCCTGCGGGGTTCACTCATGATGTGAGTAGATGATGCATGGCTTTGCTCCATGTTGGATGTGTGGACTCCCTTTCAGCGCTCCACTGTTACTTTGCTGCCCGCCCTGCTTGCTTCGCAGGTCTTTCTTTGCAGCTGCTGTGTTCACTGTGTTGTGTGGCTGAGTCGCTCGTGTTGCCTTGTGCTTTGCTGCACTGCTGCCTAGCCGCCCATCCGCATGCCTTGCCTTCCATGTCCGTTGCCTGTGTACACTTTAGTTGCTTTATTGGTGTTGCATTGTGCTTCGATGCGCTGTTTCCGTGCTGCTCGTCCAATTGCGCTGTCATTCATGCAGTTACTTTTGTTGTTGTGAAGGCCTGCTGCTGTGTTCTGCTTGTAGACAGTCTACTTTCAACAACGGTCACAGGGTTTCATGACCCAAAAGCATCAGTACGAGGATTCCGCAGATTGTCGAGGGTTCAGTGGCTTCAGCCTCCTCATGAGTCGGTGCACACTTCGACAAAATAATCTTTCATCAACAGTTCTCCCTTTGTTTTTCGTCCTTTTTTCCTCTTTTTTTTCTTTCTCTTACACTTGTCCTTGCGTTCTCATTTTCATCGTAATTTTTATCATACCTGCGGGGCAAATGTGCGGTGCGCCATGCAGTGCAGTGCGCTGATACACAGAAAAAAAGAAGAAGAAAGAAAGAAAGGCCGTGATGTGTGCACGAGAGAGAGAGAGAGAGAGAGAGAGAGAGAGAGAGAGAGAGAGAGAGAGAGAGAGAGAGAGAGAGAGAGAGAGAGAGAGAGAGAG